GAAAACTCCGAAGATTGCTTTGCTGTCTTGCACAGGTCTGGTTGGCGTCGGGTGTAGCTGAAAGTCACGCAGACGGAGCTCTCTGGGCCGTGGCAGTGGCGAGAGCAGAGAGGCACGGACGGGAGGGTCGCACACTTAGAATAAACCAACCAGGAGCGACCGTGAAATATGGAGATGTAACCATTTCGCAATATTGTTGTTGTTGTTGATTTTCTTCACATTCGGCAGAAGGCCGAGTCTAAGGATCCAGAACATCGCGTTGTAATTGCTTGCCAGGATTCTTTGGTCAACCCGCCCGCCCGCCCACACCGCCTACCCTCCACACTGCCTACCCTCCACACAAAGAGTTACGGACAGGGAGGGAGAGCACGCCACCAACCACCGCGTTGTTGGGCTGATCGTTGCCGACATTGGGGACTTGTTTATGTGCCGGAGGAACCGATGTGCTGGAGTCAGCGAGAGTTTTTCGAAGAATGCGCAGCAGCGCCTGGTACAAGGCACAACACGTACATGCACATATAGATCTATATGGGTCATGGGGAATGACCACATGGTCCCATCCAGTGGGGATGATTGGCCGACTTCCTCTGCCGTCTTGTCTTCTGTGGCATGGGCAAAAGAAGAACCATGTTTTCTACTTCGTACAACTTCAATAGATACACTTCGTCGTGCCGTGCCGCGTGATTTACCGGGGAGTCTCGTTCAACGACGGCAGCACGCAAACAAGCTGTCGGATTGTTTTGGTTTCGCAGCACAGCAGCAGTCGAGCACGTCTGCACCAAGATCCCTGTTGCGACGATCCGGCGTACATGCCCTGTGTGAGGCCCGTGTTGAGCTGCGATGTGTGTCTGTCGGTTAGCTGTAGCGAGTACACGTATGGCAGGGGTGGCCGCGCACTGCTGCTTGTGGCAGTGCGGTCTCACGTCCCATGATGCCGATTCCGCCGCAAACAACAACTCACCGAGCTGGACCGCAGCGACAAATGACAGAAGGAAGCTGGTGACATGTGAGCCGTGGTCTTAACTTTTCTATAGAAGCGCAACACTCATCTCGTGCTTGCGTAGTCTGTGCAACCTTGTGTGGCGCGCTCGCTGTCGTCTCTCGTCCGTAAGAAAGAGACGTGTGCTGACACAAAAAGATGGACGCTCGTTCTTGCTGACGCAATCTGCGTACCTTGTTTGGGCCGACGACATGAACCAGCAGCAGCAGTACGGATCTATGAAGACCGTCCATGTCTCCACATCGAACACCAACTTCGAACACACGTAGTGCCTGGTGCTGGTACGTTACCCTTTGATTTTTTCCATTAGGCGGGTGCGGGAAGCGTCCTCCTTTATTTTTGTTTTTGTTTTTTTGATCGGTTTCCGAGGGCTCTTTGCTCAAACGGTCGGTGCGGTAGCTCTTCTTTTCTACCTTTTTGTCTTCTTTCTCCGAGTGGTTTGTGCCCTGTTTACTTGTGTTTTGTTTCTCCGCGGCGTCGTATGTGCCGGGTTTTGAGACCACGTGCTCCCCATTTTTTGTGGACAAGACTAGACTAGACTACAGAGCTAATGTGGTA